ATGCAGTTTCCTCGTCTCCCGTCCCCCTGCTGCTGTGCGCTGCTTGTCGTGCTCTCCTTCCTTCCTGCTCTGCTGCCTCCTCTCTCTCGCTCGCCTTCCTGCCTCTCTCCGTGCTGCTCTCGCCTCTTCCTCTTTCCCCCCTGCCGCTTGCTTCCCTCTCCCTGCTTGTGCTGCTGCTGTTCAGTGTTCTGCTGTCTTTGTAATTCCTTTCCGGGTTGTTGCTTCCATGGAGTGGAGGTGCGGCTCTTGCCGGTTGGACATTCCAGTGTGTACGGCTCCTGGGGTTGGGGCTTCGTTGCGAGAAAAAAAAAAACGGTGCTTAAAACTGCTTCGAAGCGAGGGGGGCGGACGAGGGGACCGCCTCATATGAGATCATATGAGGTTTTGGACGGTTTTGGGCCTCAAAATCATTTGCTTTACGACGGTTTTGGAAGGAGGTCCCAAAGAGGACCCCAAGACGGTCCAAGAGAGCTCCAAGACGGTCCAAGGCGGCCCCAGGACGGCCCCAGAGGCGCCCAAGACAGGCCAACGGGGCCCCAAGATGGCCCGAAGAGCGGCCCAAGATGGCTCCAAGACGTCCCGAGGACCGCCCAAGAAGGTCCTAGGGGGCCCCAAGACAGCCCAAGGGGCGCGATAGACGGGCCCAGAGAGGCCCAAGAGGCCCCCAGGAGCCCAAACGAGATCCCCAAGTGGTGCCACGGGGCTTAAAAACTGCGTCGAAGCGAGGGGGGCGGACGAGGGGACCGCCTCAGGAGGTTTGGGACGGTTTTGGGCCTCATAATCTTCCGCTTTACGACGGTTTTGGAAGGATTTTGGCCTTCTCGCCTTTTCCGCTTTCCGACGCTCGAAGACGGCCCAAGAGGCCTCCAAGAGCGCCCCAGAACGGCCCAAGAGGTTTCCAAGAGCGCCCCAAGACAGCCCAAGAGGGCCCCAAGACGACCCAAGAGACGCTCAAGACGGCCCACGAGGGCCCGAAGACAGGCCCAAGAGGGGGCCAAGAGGGGGACCACGGACCGAAAATCCGAGCCTTCCGCCCCAAGAGGGCGCCAGGAGGCCCAAACAGGCCCCCAAGAGGCCCCAAGGGGCCGCCAAGAATCCCCCGAAGAGGCCCCAGGAGGCTCCCAAGGAGCCCAAACGAGGCCCCTACAGAGGCCCCAACAGCTTCCAAAATGGCCCCGAAGAGGCCTCGAGCCCGCCTCCGAGCTTCCTCGCCGCGAGGGTGCCAACACGGCCCCAGACCGGCCCAGGACGGCCCAAGGCGCGCTCAAGACGGCCCAAGACGATTCCAAGACGGTCCCAGGAGGGTGCGCCCAGGACGGCCCAAGGACGCGCCCGTTCGGGGCCTCAAGACGGGCCAAGATGGCAAGAGAGTCCCAGCTGGCAAAAATCGTTAATTTTCCATTGTTTACTGTTACACCCTTTGCGTTTCCCGCCGTTTCGGCGGTCCGATGCACCAAGAGGCCCCAGAAAGTCCCAGGAGGGTCCGAGGAACCGCCCAGGAAGGCCCCAAGACGGGCCAAGACGGACCCAGCACAACCCAAGGCGCGCTGCGACGGCTCAAGACGGCTCCAAGACAGCCCCAAGAGGGTGCCAACACGGCCCCTGCTGGGCCCAGGACGGCCCAAGGAGGCGCACAGGAGGGGCCCAAGACGACTCCAAGGCGGCCCCCTCACGGTCCCAGACGGCTCCAAGACAGCCCCACGAGGACCCCGATGGGCCCAGGACGGCCTACGGACGCGCCCATGAGGGGCCCACGACGAACCAAGACGGCCCCATCAGGGCAAACGGCGCCCTCAAGACGGGCCTAGACGGCTCCAAGACGGCCCTTTGAGGGAGCCAATGCGGCCCCACACCCTTCGGGCGCACACTTGGGGGGGCTGGGAGCTTGCGACAAGTCTCCCACATTCATTGTCCTGCCCCATTCTGTTCGCCTGGAGGCCTCCTCCAACCCTGTGGGCGAACAAGAGGAATCCCAGCGGGACGCCAACCCTGGGGCCCGTGGGCCCCGCGCCGCTTGGGCAGAAGACGAACGCCGGGTCTGACAGGCCAGCTACCGCCCCCCTTTGCCCGATATGCTGTGCCATTCTGTTCCCCCAGGGGCCTTGGCAAACTCTTCGGGCCAAGCAGACCGGACCCCTGGGACAGCAGCCAATTGATATGACCCTGGGACCTCTCCGCATTCTTCGGACGAGCATCTGGGGGGCCCAGGAGATTCGGACATGTCTTCCCCATTCCTTGCCCTGTCCCGTTCTGTTCGCCCGAAGGCCTCCACAGACCCTCTGGGCGAACAGAATGGGACATGGCGAACAAACCCTCCCGTTGGCGGTGATGCGACTGGATCGCACCATCAAGGCGCGCCCGGAGGTGATGGCCGACCCAACAGCGGTTTCTCTTAAGAGTTCACTGGATTTCAAATTTTCTTGAAGCTCTCTTGGGCCCTCCCTGTAGATCCTTGCGAGCCTCCCCGGCGCTTTCGGTGGCTTTCCCCGATGGCCTCCCGAGCCCTTCCCCGAGCGCTCCTGAGACGCCTCAGATGGGCTTCGACTTCGACGCACATCCCCGAGAGACTTCGAAACTGTCCTCAATAGGAGGGGGGTGAACGAGCAGTGCGCTGGGCCAAGCTGCTGCAGCGCTGCAAGAGCTCGGACACGAAGGCGCGGTCTCGCTGCCGCCGCCCGAGCCGCCGCCGTATTTGTAGATTTTCGGTACAATCTGCGCCGTTCCTCCGAGAACCATTCCAGAAAGATGTCGTGGACGGAGTCCACGGGTCAGCCCTAGTCTGTACTACAATTCCGGGCGAAGCGCGCGCGAGAAGGTCAGGCAGTGGCAGCGCCCCGGGCCGCCCAGAGATCTCGCGGGCCGCCCTGAGAGCCTCCGGGCCGCTGCCCGACGGGCCCGGGAGGTCCCCGGACCGCTGGCGGACTGATCCAGGATTCCCAGATCGCCCCAAGACGGCCTCAGGAGGTCCCGAAGACGGCCCAAGACGGTCCAAGAGTGGATCCGAGACGCTCAAAATGGCTTCAAGATGCCTTCAAGACGGCCCGGGACGCGTCCACGAGGCCCCCAGAGCGCTCGAAGTGTACCTCCAAGAGGGGCCGCAGAAGCCAAAATCGTTGATTTTCTTTGTTTTTGTTCCGATGTTTCTGGCCTTCTCGCGTTTTCGGCTTTCCGACGCTCCAAGACCGCCCAAGAGCCAGACGGCCCAAGAGGCCTTCAAGACGGCCCCAAGACGGCCCAAGAGGGCCCCAAGACGGCCCAGGAGTCGCCCAAGACAGCCCAAGAGGGCCCCAAGAAGGCCCCAAGAGAGGCCCCAGACAGGGACCCGTAACCGAAAAATTTAGGCCTCCACCCCAAGATGCCCCCAGGAAGCCCCAAGACGCCCCAAAGAAACGCCGGGACGCTCCCAAGACATCCCCAGGAGGCCCCAGGACGCCCCAAAGAGGCTCCAAGAGGCCCCCCAGAGGCCGCCAAGCGCCTTAAAAGATCCCCAAGAGGCCCCAAAAGAGGGCCCAAGAGGCCCCAAGACGCCCCCAAACTGCTACCGAGAAGCCCCCAAACTGTCTCCTAGAGGCTCCCGAGAGGCCAGCCATGACATCCCAACCAACATCCACGAGATCTCTTACCCATTACCCAGGCCCGCAGCGACATTGCCCGCAGGCCACTACAGCCAGTTCGAGGGCCCTACGTATACCAGCACCCGCACCCTTGGCTGCATCGGGGGCCTCACCGCTGCTCTCTCGGTTCTGCTGGCTTCGATCTGCCAGAGCTCTCGAGACGGCCATCTCGACGGCCCGAGAACCCCGAGATGGCCCCAGGACCACCCTGCGCGGGCCCGCTAACGTGGCCCCTTCACTCTGACGGTGCCTGAAAAATCTTGAGTTTGCTGATCGCGCCCAGTCCCAGCGCGATTAGCAAAAACCCATTCCTTTTCACGCTTCCAGGTCAGTACCCCCGGGGCTCCCCGACTGCTTTCTGAGATCGCCCCTGGACGTGGCCCCTTACACGTCGGCCCCACGCGCGGCCTCCAAACGGGACCCCCAAAGGCGGCCCCCACACAAAGCCTCCGAAGGTCGCCCCTACCGCCCCAGTAAGCGTGGCCCCCGAACGTCAACCCCACGCGTAGCCCCCAGGCGCCCCCAAACGTGGCCCCAACACACACACAGCCCCCAACCATTGCCCTCGAACGTGACCGTCACATCTGCCCCCGAACCCCACACCCTCAAACGCGACCGTCACATGTGCCCCCGAACCCCGCACGCGGCCCCCAAACATGGCCCCCGGCAGGGCCGCGAACGTTGGCCCCAACCATGGCACCCTGACGAGACCCCCCAACGTGGCCCTCAAACGAGGCCCCCCAACGTAGCGCCCAACTCTGGCCCCCACGCGTCCACCCCCCACATCGAACTTCTCGCGCACAGGGACTCTGTAAGATCGTTCGGGCCCCTTACTCTGATTGCGTCTGAAAACTTATGTGTGTCTGCTAATCGCGCCCAGGCCTCGCGCGATTAGCAAAAACACATTACTTTTGACGCTTCCAGTGTTCCGACACGTGCGCGTTCGGGACCAATGCCTGGACCTGCGGGCCGTGGATTTTCCACGGGTTCACACTAGTCAGCTACAACGCTGGGATCAGTGCGTGCGAGAAGGGCGAGCAGTGGGAACGGGCGCTGGCGCTGCTCAGCGAGATGTGGGAGGTGAGTTTGAAGCCTAGCGGCATCAGCTACAACGCTGGGATCAGCGCGTGCAATAAAGGCGCGCAGTGGCAGCGGGCTTTGACGCTGATCGGTGAGATGCGGGACGCGAGGTTTGGGCCCGACCTCATCAGCTACCACGTTGGGATAAGCGCCTGCGCGAAAGGCGGGCAGTGGCGGCGGGGTCTGTCGCTGCTGGGAGAGATGCGGGGGTCGAAGTCCGAGCCCAGCGTCGAAAGCTACAACGCTGGGATCAGCGCGTGCGAGAAGTGCCAGCAGTGGGAACGGGCGCTGGCGCTGCTCCGCGAGATGTGGGAGGCGAGATTGGAGGCGGATGTGATCAGCTACAGTGCTGGGATCAGCGCTTGCGAGAAGGGCGTGCAGTGGCAGTGGGCGTTGCAGCTGCTCGGCAAGATGCGGGAGGCGATGCTGGAGCCCAACAGCAGCCAGTCTACGTGTCCGTGAGTCGCGCGTGCGAGAGGGATCGAGAGGGGCACCGCGAATATTCTGAGCGGCGCCTGGGAGGGCATTCACTCGGACACACCCCGTCGCCGAGCTGGCCCAGCGGCCCAGCGAGGCGCACGGAGGGCCTCGAGGAGAGGCCCGAAGCAACATTCTACGACACGTATGACTATTACCAGCACGAAGCAGCAATCAGCAAGCAGCAGCAGGCAAGCGATCACACCCATGGACCCAGTACTAAACAGCAGCAGCAATACGTAGCAAGCAGCGGAAGCAATCAGCATAAGCAGCACGCACCAGCAAACAGCCGACAGCAGCAGCAGCAGCAGCAGCAACAGCAGCGAACAGCAGCAAGGTGCAACAAGGTGCAACAAGCAGCACTCAGCAGTAGTCTGCGGCGCTCAGCGGCATCGGGCAGACACGCAAACAAGAAGAGAGCATACAAGCAGGCAAGCAAACAAGCTGCTATGCCTACAGGCTATCTGTCACCCAAGCAGGACAGCACGCAAGCAGGCAAGCGATTCACTGGTGCATGCGAGGAAGGTCTCGTGGAGTTGAAGGTACAGGTCAGCTTCCGAGAGGGCCCCAGAGGCCCACAAGAGCCCCCAGGAGTGCCCCGAGACACCCCCAAGATGGCCCAGGCTGGCCTCCAAGATTGCTCCGAGACGGCTTCAATACAGGTCCAAGATGGCCCAAGACCGCTACAAGATAGCCCAGCAAGGCCCCCTATGAGAGCCTAAGAAAGGCCCAGCATTCACCATTGATCCAGTATGGCCATCAAATCGCCAGCAGCAAATAGTAGAGGTAAGTCTACAAAGTGTGCGGCTGCGAGCGGTCAGGCCACCAGGCCGGCAAGCTCGCAAGCAGGATTGCAGGCAAGTGGTCAGGCAGACAAGCGGCTCTCACCCTCGCATGCGGCGTGTCCGCCTTCGTGGCGACTGGGAGGATTGCGATCAGATCAGGCCGCTTGCTTTGGATTCAATCCACGGTTTCACCCTGGTCTATGCGACAATGTTGGGAGCAGCGTGTGGAAGGTGCAAGTCGTGGCAAAGCCAGAACATTTAAGGTTTTCTATTGTTTGATCTTACAGCTCCAGCACACGACTTTTGGGTCCTTGCAGCGTCCACGACGGCCCAACAGCCCCCTAGATCGCCCCAAGCCGGCCGAAGAGGCCTCCACAGAGAATCCCAACACGGCTCGAGAGAGTCCCAAGAGGCCCAAGAGAGCCCAAGACGACCCAAGATGGCCCAGGGATGGCCCACTAGAGCCCCAGATGCATCCCACGACGGCCCCAAGAGCGCTCCCAGAGAGCACGAAGAGGCCCCCCAAGGGATGCTACAACGTATCCCCTGTTGTAGCATCCGCCGGGTGCTTTCTGAGTGCCCTCTAGGGGCCGTCTTCGGGCCCTCTCGAGACACTCTTGGGGCAATTTTCGAGGTCCTGGAGAACCTCCTTCAAGGCTGCAAGACGGCCCAAGAGGGCTGCAAGACAGCTGAGGGAAAGCTTCAAGACGGCCCAAGAGGCGCCCAAGACGACCCAAGATGGCCTAGAGATGGCCCCGCCGCGTTCCCCTGCCAGGGCACCTGCGGATTTGCTCCACGGGTACACGCCAGTCAGTTACAACGCTGCGATCAGCGCGTGCGAAAAGAGCGAACAGTGGCAGCGGGCTGTCGAGCTGCTCGGCGAGCTGTGGGCGGCGAAGCTGGAGCCTGGCGTCATCAGCTATGGCGCCGGGATCAGCGCGTGCGGGAAGGGCGAGCAGTGGCAGCGGGCCCTGGCGCTGCTCCGCGAGATGTGCGAGGCGAGGTTGGAGCCCGACATCGTCTCCTCCACAGTTCAGCCACGCGCAGAGGTGGGTGGGGGAAGGGGGTCAGGGCTTCTTAGTAGCACCCCTGCTTCTTAGAAGGCCCGGTGGCACCCCGCGCAGGGCCCTAAAACGACGCGAAGATCGGGACAACATCGGATCGGGATGACTCGAAATCTCTGAGAGTCGGCGGGTTTGGAGGATGTATTGGGCGCCGCGGCCGCTCCAGAGCGTTCCGGAACGCTCTGAGAGCGCTCCGGAACGCTCTGGAGCGATTTATCCCGATCCTAGCCCTGTTTTACCAGGTCCCCAGATCTTGGCATCGCTCGGACGTGTGCACTTTTTCTCGGCGAGAGCCAGCGAGGACCCTCCTGGACCCTGGAGCAACAAAAACACGCACGAAACCGCAAAAGTGCACGGGAGATGCGCGTCCGAGCGACGGCAAGAGAGGGGGCGAAACCCGTCGAGCTCCTTCGGCTTCCCGCAGAGGAGTGGCACTCTCCGCAGGGGCTCCAGGCGATTCCAGCACCGGGCTCCAGAGGCTTCTCAGGGAGCCCGCAGCGCCGACGGTTCCCACCTATGATGGCTTGATGGCCCCAGCCAGCCCAGCAGCCTCTGGCCGGGTCACGCCAGGCCCCCTCGGGAATTCCAACACTGCCCCAGGAGAGCCGATATAGTCCCAAGATGGCCCCAAAGAACATCAAGGCGGGCAAACAGCGAGCAGCAGTTAGCAGCAGGGCCATCAGCAGTAATTAGCGCCAGCAGCCAAGAGAGGCAAGTGCCAGCAATCAGCAGCGTCAAGTCCCAAGAGGGCCCCAATATGTAACGCTGGGTCAGCCTTTAAACGCAGCAAGCAACAAAAAGCAGAGCCAGCAGCAGTAGCAGAGTTCAGCAGCCGCAGCAGCCAGGAGAAGCATCCACAAAGCAACAACAGCAGCAAGCAATGGCAAACATAACGCGCAAGCAGCAGCAATCAGCAGCAGAAGCAGCAGCTGCAGCAGCATGAACTCACAGCAGCAGCAATTGCTTGTGGACTCCGCTCGAGGGTACTCGTTAGTTTGCTCTAGAAAACCGCGCGCACTGCATGCCAGAAGGGCGCCAGAGGTAAGCAGCTAACGATCGGTCTGGGCAGTCCCCACGCGCCCCTGGGAGCTCCCAAGCCGCTGCCAGGTGGCCCAACGGAGCCCTCTGAGAGCTCTATGCGGCCAAGGAGGGCCCCCAGCAGGTGCCCACGACCGCCAGGCAGGCCACAAAGACAGCTCCAGACGCCCCGAGCAAACGCCAAGGTGGCCACAAGAGGCTGGCTCAGAGATGGCTCCGCGCAGGGCCCTCACGAGGCAAAGTACATTCAATCCATGTTAGAAGGGCCCCACGAGGCCCCATGAACCCCAAGATGTCCCGAAGAGGCCTCACGCGAGCCCATGGAGGGCCCAACAGAACCCCAACAGGCTCCAGGAGAGCTCCGAGATGACCCTCACATGGCCACAAGGCGGCCCAACAAATATCTCTACTCGCTCCTTCTCTTTGGGCTGTAGGAGGTGCTCCCGAGATCTCTCCAGAGGGCCCTGAGACAGGGACAGAAGTCTGCGTGTCAGCTCCGGTAGCCGGAGCGGTCCCCTGAGGGGCAGACGTGCATCCAGCAAGGTGGACAAGTGTATCTGGTGAAACGCGCACGGGGGAGGCCAACTCAAGCATCCAATTGATCCCTCCATCTCAGAAGAGGTCTCCCGATGGATCGTGTGGTTTTTGCCTGGAACCACGGCGTCCAGTTCAACACCCGTTTGCTCCATGTGTTCTTTGTGTCGAAGAAGATGCGGGCGGCGAGCGCCAGTTTCTGATATGGGAGTTAGAACAATACTCCTCTTATCTTCCGGGTCGTGCGCTTGATGTACTCCACGTATGATTCGACCACGCCCCTGGCCGTGCGAAGCATGCTGTGGAGCATCTTTCCCCATGCAACTTCAAGTCTGTCTCTGGACCCTGGACGTAGCATCCGGCGCCCATCACTCGCACGCATAGAGAGCGACTGAGCTCACAACGCTTTCGAACAGGCGCCCGCGCTTCCTGAACGGCTACGACCGAGAAAATCGAGCATTCTTGAATTTGGCGTCTGCTCCCCACGCAGACGACAATATATGTGAGAGTTCAATCTCATGATGACCATAGAGAGAAAATTACAATCCTAAGTATCGCTCCGAGTCCCTCGGCTTCAAAATCTCGACGTCCTCTCCAGATATGTGCACTGTCGTTCGACTCTTTTAGCCGTTCAGTTTGTAAGAGCTTCTGTTTTCCAAAATGAACCAAAATCTCATGCCCGGAGGTCTCCTTCGTCAAATCCCCGAGCATTCAAAAAACGTCAGAGTTGAGGCACGCCAAGGGCAGGACGTCGTCCGCAAACCGTTGACTCATCAGTGGGTCATCCGCTGAGTCAGTCGATGACAAATCCATGAGATGGCCCAGTCCTGCGCTGAGTTAGCTTGTCAGTGCGCGAGAGCATACTTCTGTCACAGCTTTGCGCAATAATGATATCGGGTCTCATCGTTCCACACCGCGAGATAGTTCAAAGCTCTTTGGCGCCCCTTCTGCCACGACCGTGGCTCATTGGTGACAGAACAGCTTCTGTAGCAGGGAACTGTAACTGGCGCTCACGCCCAATTCACGAAGAACCTCCCATAGCGCAGAGTGTTCTACAGTATCGAGCGTTTTGAAAAATCCACGAGGGCGGTCAACTGTCGCGTGCCCCCTGCGGTACGCAGCTTGGTCAGGGTATTGCACAGAGACACTTGCTGGTTGGAGTCTGTCGCACAACAGCTGGGCGAACAATTTGCACAGGCTTTGCAAAACAGCTATGGGTCTATAGTTGTTTTGCAAGTGCTGTAGAGGGTTTCCTTTTATTGTAGTGGCCTCGGGCCAGTGCCGCCGTTCTGGGGTGCTACCGATTCTGCTTGCAACGGATAACCTTTCATATTTAAAAAGTAGAGCACTCGCTCGAGACATCCTCATAAGATAGAGATGTTCAACTTGCTTGGGCAACCTTCGGACATTCGAAAGTGACGATCTCGCGTGATCAGCCAAACTCATGGGATGTTGACGTAGCTGATGTATGACACCTTTGGGGGGCGCTCCTGGGCTTCTCGGGGGGCTTTTTGGAGGCATCCTGGAGGCTTCTTGGGGGCGCGCTGGAGGAAATGTTTGAATCTCTTGGGGGCCTTTTGGGAGCCTCCCTGGGGCTTCGTGGGCCGTCTTGGGCCCTTCTTGGGCCGTCTTGGAGCCCCCTTCGGGCTTGAATAGCGTCAGCCATGGCGGGCTTGAATAGCGTCAGCCCTCCCCCCCCCCCCCCTCTCCTCTCCCGAGTCCTCCTGGGTCAATGGCGTCAGCTCTGAATGGCGTCAGCCATCGCCCCCCCCCCCCCCCCCCCCCCCCGACAGAGTGAAGCTTCGAGCTCCCCCTCCCCCCCTCCCCTCCCCCCTCCTGGCCTGAATGGCGTCAGCATGGCGTCAGCCCCTCCCCCCCCCGACTCCTCCCTCTCGGGCCTATCTGGCGTCAGTCCTCCCCCCCTCCTCCCCCCTCCCGGGCCTGCCCTATGGCGTCAGCCCCTCCCCCCCCGACAGAGCGAATATTGAGCGAGCTCCCCCCCCCCTCCCTCCTCCCGGTCTGAATGGCGTCAGCCATGGCGTCCCCCCCCCTCCCCCCCGACTCTCTCCCTCTCCTCCCGGGTTTGAATCTCCCCCCCCCTCTCCCCCTCCTGGCCTGAATGGCGTCAGCTATGGCGTCAGCCCCCTCCCCCCCCCCGACAGAGGCGAAGCTTGAGCGAGCTCCCCCCCCCCTCCCACCTCCCGGGCCTGAAATGGCGTCAGCCATGGCGTCAGCCCCCCCCCCCCTCCGACTCCCCCTCCCGGGCCTGAATGGCGTCAGCCATGGCGTCACCCCCCCCCCCCCTCCCCCTCCTCCTGGGCCTGAATGGCGTCAGCTATGGCGTCAGCCTTCCCCCCCGACAGAGCGAAGCTTGAGCGAGCTCCCCCCCCTCCCCCCTCCCCTGAATGGCGTCAGTCATGCCCCCCCCCCCTCCGACTCCCTCCTCCCCCTCCGCCCGGGCCTGCATGGCGTCAGCCATGGCGTCCCCCCCCCCCCCCTCTGGGGCCTTGAATTGCGTCAATGGGCGTCCCCCCCTCCCGCCGACAGAGCGAAGCTTGAGCGAGCTCCTCCGCCCCTCCTCCCCCTTCCCGGGCCTGAATGGCGTGAGCTCCCCTCCCCCCTCCCCCCTCCTGGTGAATGGCGTCAGCCATGGCGTCACCCCCCCCCTCCCCTCTCCCTTCTGGGCCTGAATCGGGCCTGAATGGCGTCAGCTTATGGCTCGCCCCCCCCCGAGTCCCCTCCTCCCGGGCCTGAATGGCGTCAGCCATGGCGTCCCCCCCCCCCCCCCCACCTCTCCCTCCGGGCCTGAATGGCGTCAGCTATGATGGCGTCAGCCCCTCCCGCCCCCCCGACAGAGCGAAGCTTGAGCGAGCTCCCCGCCCCCTCTCCCTCCTCCAGGGCCTGAATGGCGTCAGCCATGGCGTCAGCCCCCCCCCCGACAGAGTGAAGCTTGAGCGAGCTCAAGCCCACGCTCTCAGAAAATCACACGCCGGATCGGCGGATTTGTTTTGCAAGTGTTGTAGAGGGTTTCCTTTTATTTGGAACAGTACCACGAGCCGCATTCGGGCCCATGTTTCAAGCAGCTCCGCGCCTGGCTGTACCATATCGTTGAGTAGGTCAAGAACAGCATTGCGGAATTTGGCGCTCGATGTCTTCAGAATTTACCCAACCACCCCAGACTCGTCTTTGCATCTTCTACATGTCATAATCTTCAGGGCCACCTCCAATTATTCGGAATTTCTTCGACAACGGCGTTGCGAGTGTTCCGTGACTTGCTGGGCAAGCCGCCCAGAAAACGCGGGCACACCCTAAACATTTGCAAAGATCAGTGCAAAGGGCCGGCGATGCGGCAGGACGAACTGGAAGCGTTGGGTGAGCCCGGGATCCTTCTGTGGACGGGGGCCCTGGGGTCGGCAATGCGTAAGAGTGGCCCTTCCCCCGAGTGACCTGTGGTGCTGGCCTACAGGGGTGGGCCTCAGCATCTGCCTGCGCGCTGGAAGCTGGCCCTCCCCGCGGCCCCCGAGAGCTGGGCACCAAAGGTTTTATCCCGCCCGGGGTCACTCTTGCGTGCAAGCGACCGGGTCAGACCTACTCAGCTACAGCGCTGGGATCAGCGCGTGCGAGAAAGGAGGCCAGTGGCAGCAGGCTCTGACGTTGCTCCACGAGCTGCGGGAGTCGAAGTTGGAGCCCGACGTCATTAGCTACACCGCTGGGATCAGTGCGTGCGAGAAGAGCGATCAGTGGTGGCAGGCTCTGTCGCTGATCCGCGGGATGCGGGAGGCGAAGCTGGAGCCCAGCGTCGTCAGCTACAGTGATGGCGTCAGCGCGTGCCAGGTTGGCGATCAGTGGCGACAGGCGTTGCTGCTTCTCAGCGAAACCTAAGAGTCTAGGTCTCCCAGATGGGGTCGGAGTGGATGGGGTCGGAGGATCGCGCCGCATCGCCGATGCATCGCCGATGCGGGTCGATGTGGAGCCCGATTCTCTCTACGCCGACAGCGCCGATGCCTCGCCGACGTCGCCGATTCATCGGCGATGCATCGGCGACGCATCGGCGGTGCATCGGCGATGCGGCGCGACCCTCCGACCCCATCTACTCCGACCCTGTCCAGGGGGCCTCTAAAGTTGGAGCCGGACGCCAGCTGTGGCCGCAGTTCTGCGCCCAGTGCGAGCGGGAGTGCCGTGAAAGCGGTCGGGGCGGGCCAAGAGCGCGCAGCTCGCGAAGCCCAGGGCTCTCGCACGCCGCCCACTCGGCGCCCAAGACGCACTGGCGTCGTCCCCCGGCCGGAGAAACCACACCCAGCAGCCACGAGCCGGCCCATGGTGGACAAAAGCAGGCCCAATACGCTCACCAGAACTCTGCAGACAGATAGGGGGCCACATGCGAGCCCTACCCCTACCCCCCACGATTTCTGGGGGGGAGGGTGGGGTAGGGGTAGGGCTCGCATGTGGCCCCCTATCTGTTCTGACTCCAGTCGTGCATCCAGCGGCTCCCATCCATGCGCGCTTTCGGCGATCAGGGAGGCCTGCGCCCTCTGCTGCCAACGCGGTGGATCACCGAGCCGCTGTTGCGGATGTGAGCAAGCGGCCACCTCAGAAGAAGCACGGCGGTGGCCAAGCAGAGTATCTCGCCGTCGTTGGTAAGATTAGTTGATCTTTGCACTGTCTGCTTTCACTGATGTCTTCAACACCGACAGCGCGTAATGCGGAGGATAGGCCCAAACCTTGACGGATCATGAAGTTCGTGATGGTTACAGACATCGCGGTTGCGAGTGTGTTGCGCCTAATTACGTACGATATGTCGGTCGGACTTTGAGTTTCAATCTGCGTGTCGTGTCAATATCTGGCTCCAGCTTCGCGTTCCTTCGCAGGCCGGACTGTATGCAGTCGTTGCCGGATGCACCCGCCCACTCGAGCGAGGTCGCCATTGTGGTCCGTTGCGACAGAGTTCCGGCCGACGCGGCATTCCAGAGCTCGCCGTTCCAGGACAGAGCATCGGAGCATCGGTGACCGCAGGGAGGCCAGCATGCCGCCGTGCAGCGGAGCGCGGGCACGGCGCAGCCGGGAGGGCGTGGCAGGCTGGACCTGCGTGGAGAGGGGGCTCCGCCGCGACCCTTGGGTGGTGATGTACCAGTGCGGCACCCAGGAGCCCCGCCGCAGGCGGGGCCTGGAGCGGGGGTGCTTCCAGACCCTGCCGCAGAGACCAGCAGGCGAGCGGGGGCCAGATGTGCCCGTCTTGTGCAACCCAGCGCCGGCGGACACAACGGCATACCTCGGAGTCTTGGAGAAATAGCAGCTTCCAGATCGGGGTCTGAGTTTTCTTAGCAAATCGAAGAAGCTTGGGACTCCAGGGTAGACTATGGAGGACGGCACCGACGACAAACATGTCTACACCTCAGTCAAGTTTAATCATCATAGCCTTCACGCACACCTTTGATGAACGTGTTGTTTGACGACCTGGGCCCTTTGAGTCGC